GGGGAGTCGTGCCCTCTTCGCCCGCTTCCGGAGAGGCGGCAGCTGCTCGACCCCCAAGTCGTTGATCCCTGCCCAGACGCTGGGCTCCTTGCCTCCGTCCCTTCCCTCCGCAGAGTGGTCGCGGTCTCCTAGAAGCACCCGCAGTGACCACAGGCCCCATGTGAGCGAAGGCTTAGCCCCGCCTCCGAGGGCCGTGAGCGGCCACTATTGGCTGAGGCTTCCTGAGACCCGGATGAGCACGGGGCTGCGGGGAGCTCGCGGGCGCGCGCTCCGCTCACGCAGGAGTGCGGGCGCGCGCTTTGCTCCAGCGAGAAGGTGGCACAGAGGGAGAGTGGGGGGCCGCGGTTGGGGATGGCCCTAGTGGAATTTAGGAAAGGCTTGGAGTCTCTCCAGTGTTCTTCGAGAGTAAACGGCGGAATCGGGCAGGGAGTGAAGGAACAGAAGGAGGACAGTAGGAGGCTCTACTTAACATCTGGAGACCAGACCCTGTGCTTCGATCCAGCTTAAGCTGGAGAACCCTAACTGTAGGTCATGCCTTATTATTGTTTGAACCAGGCACTGCGCAACACACTGGAGATACAGGAGATGATAAAATAGACCAAAATCCCAGTTCCAGTTCTCAAGGGGTTGTGCTTGTCTTAAGCTTTGTATGTGCTATTTTTCCCTCAAGACGCTCTTTTTTGGAATCCACTTCTCTATTACAATCACCTGTGAGCTATGTAGTATAATTTCCTTTTAGACTCAGATGAAATGCTGCTAATTTGTAAAAATACTTCTGACCCTTAGGGCTGGTTTAGGACCTCCCTAGAGCTGTATCACTTACCACACTATTGTGAAAATTAAATGAAAAGAGCCTATTATAATACCTACCAATACTCAATAATAGCACTTCCTGTCAGAATGATACTGTGTCACATTCCCGACAAAGTGGGACTTCTCAAGGGCAGGGTCCCTGTCCTGTTCATTTTTTGCATCATCAATACCCAGTGCAGAGTCTGACATATGTGTTCAAATGTATATTGATCAGATAAATGAGTGCTGGTGGTCACCAGTGTGATTGGCAAGGTTAAAGGGAGGAAGGAAACACCAATTGTGATGAGTTGCATGGTGCCACCCCCAAATTCACATAACCTCAGTACCTGTGAATGTGACGCTTAGAAATAAGGTCTTTGCAGATGATCAAGATGAGAACATTAGGGAGAGCCCTAATTCACTGTGATTGGTATTATATAAGGGGGAAATCTGGACACATTACACACACACAGAAGGAGAACACTTGTGAAGGTTGGAGTTACACTCCCACAAGCCAAGAAACTACCGGAAGCTAGGAGAGAAGCCCAGAACAAATCCTTTCTTGGTGTTCTCAGAGGAACTGTGGCCCCCCTGACACCTTTATTTTATACTCTGGCCTCCAGAACTGAGACCATAAATTCCTGTGGTTCTAAGTCATCGGGTTTGTGGTACCTTCTTGCGGCAGCCCTAGGAAACTAATACGGAATAAAGTATATTCAGTGTTGTAGGTAGCCGATACGTCTGAATAGTCTCCCCTCCCTCGCGTCTGTTACTACAGGAAGTGTGTATCATTCTTTCTTTGATTTTTATGAGGACATTTCAATTAGGTGTGTGAAACCCCTTTTTCACTATAAAGTAATGAGCAAATATTGGTTATTTTTATTGATGGGAATGAGTCTCGGGTGGCCACCACTCTGAGGCTTTCATCATCCGTGCATAGGGTGTGGTACCCAGAGCAATACCCTAATTTGGATGACCTCACACTCCAAGGCCTAGAACTGTACTTTAAGAAATATATTCGGGGACCAGCAGATGGTGTAATGGTTACATCACTGGACTCCCATATAGTCAACCATGGTTTGAGTCCCGGACCCAGCAGCTTAAATTCACTCTGGGTACGTGTACACGCATGCCCCAAACCCCAAGAAGAGAATGGAAGAAAAGGGATTGCAGTGTGGCCATCCCCTTTTGAGGGCATGATTTCTCACTTTCTGTCTCTCTCTGTCTCTCCAGCGAGCACACGTGTCCTATTTTCCCTCAAGACGCTCTTTTTTGGAATCCACTTCTCTATTACAATCACCTGTGAGCTATGTAGTATAATTTCCTTTTAGACTCAGATGAAATGCTGCTAATTTGTAAAAATACTTCTGACCCTTAGGGCTGGTTTAGGACCTCCCTAGAGCTGTATCACTTACCACACTATTGTGAAAATTAAATGAAAAGAGCCTATTATAATACCTACCAATACTCAATAATAGCACTTCCTGTCAGAATGATACTGTGTCACATTCCCGACAAAGTGGGACTTCTCAAGGGCAGGGTCCCTGTCCTGTTCATTTTTTGCATCATCAATACCCAGTGCAGAGTCTGACATATGTGTTCAAATGTATATTGATCAGATAAATGAGTGCTGGTGGTCACCAGTGTGATTGGCAAGGTTAAAGGGAGGAAGGAAACACCAATTGTGATGAGTTGCATGGTGCCACCCCCAAATTCACATAACCTCAGTACCTGTGAATGTGACGCTTAGAAATAAGGTCTTTGCAGATGATCAAGATGAGAACATTAGGGAGAGCCCTAATTCACTGTGATTGGTATTATATAAGGGGGAAATCTGGACACATTACACACACACAGAAGGAGAACACTTGTGAAGGTTGGAGTTACACTCCCACAAGCCAAGAAACTACCGGAAGCTAGGAGAGAAGCCCAGAACAAATCCTTTCTTGGTGTTCTCAGAGGAACTGTGGCCCCCCTGACACCTTTATTTTATACTCTGGCCTCCAGAACTGAGACCATAAATTCCTGTGGTTCTAAGTCATCGGGTTTGTGGTACCTTCTTGCGGCAGCCCTAGGAAACTAATACGGAATAAAGTATATTCAGTGTTGTAGGTAGCCGATACGTCTGAATAGTCTCCCCTCCCTCGCGTCTGTTACTACAGGAAGTGTGTATCATTCTTTCTTTGATTTTTATGAGGACATTTCAATTAGGTG